ATCTTGGTGAGTGAGCCGTCGTTAGCTAGCAGATATGTTAGCCCTAATCGTCAGCATACAGACATTGTGACAGTTAGCTATCATATATCAAGGCGCTATAACTAAAGTAGGCATTGAATATATAGTAAGCGTTACTGGCAGAGACTGTTGATGGCATGATCCCTAACAGAAACTTAATGCGCAAGTATCATCCGTATCCGCGTACTAATGCAACTCCAGCACTATGGTGCTGTGTACCGGAGGGAGACGGCGAGATGAGGCGGCTGATATTGACGATCTGGCGNTCAAACTATGCCAAATTAAACTTATATATACACATGCTATACCTTGCTATACCCGCAACCTCCGTTCCAGCTATGAGGGTCTTCTCTACAGCTGGGCTGATTGTGAATCGCCTCCACACATGAAAGCTGTAGGCCTATAGCTGTCAAACTGTGATCACCAGTTCAATACATTTAACAAATTCGACTTGGTTTCTACACTTTGAATTTTTTTTTTTACCCAATTTTTTTTTTATAGGATATGTACATTTCGGTTAACCGGTTAACCGTTTTTTGGGGGGTTGAATATTCGAATATACATTTGCTTTCAAATTCCCATCCCTACTGGGAACAGATGCTTAAAAAATGAAATACTGTGCATTATCTCTTGAGATAATATAAAACAATGTCCAAATGCTAGTCTGTTCTCCATGTGCTGCTACTATCAGACCTCAGCAGGAAACACAGTGTGCTTCCTGTCCTCACTCAAGTTCTAGCAAATACTGCATTGACTGCCTTACAGAATTACCACCGAGAGAGCATTAAGTGACATTTAATTAACAACAAAACTGGAAATGTCCTTTGGTTGATTATTTTGTACACAACAGTCCACTTGATTAAGATCAACCCATTGTGAGATGTGTCTTAAAATGCTGCTGCTCTACACAGTGTGTCACACTGACTACTAGTGGGACCCCCTGGCTTTGAGAGGCTGTCAAAGCCAGACAGTGCTCACAAATGTCTTCCTTCGGGTGTGATTCTAACAAAACACATTCACAATGACACATGCCAGACACAGACGACTACACACTGTCGCCCTGTGCAATCTCTTTCTAATGAAGAAGACTCCTTTCTTTGAAGGTTCATTACATTTTCTATGATGATCACACATATCTGCCCCTCAGAATCAATTCTCTTCAGCAGGGAGTCCCTCCACAACATAAATATGTGTGTAAACTCGAAAAATCCATATTTTTTTCAGCTTAGTATTGCAAATGTTTCAGCTGCCAGGCTGTAACTAAGCTTGAAGGAATCAACCCTGTTTTTCTAGAATTCAAAAAGGAGTTGGTCAGACATTCTGGGAACAATATGTTAACACAGATTTCGTAAAAATAATATAATGTGCTGCCAAGAGGAATGAAAGAAGAGACACACCCTATCCATTGTGAGGCAATGAAACCCTTAAGAGAAGAAAACAAATAGTAGTTACATATATATGGAGCAGTATAACTGGAGAAAGGCAGGAGAGGATGAGAGCATTTTAATCTTACTACGCAGTGAAAAGCGTATCAAGTGGGGTCTAACTACGTCTCACTTCCTCACTCCCTGAAACCGATACAGGGGGTGACAGGACTACCCCAACATATCAAAGTTGCGCCGACTGAAGTCAGTAAATCAGTGAGTAGATGATTTAGTGACTCGCATATTACAGGGACAAGGTGCTGATTAAAAATGAGTCAGTAAAAAACTGTGGTCAGGATATAGGAAATGGTGGTTTGCTGTTGAAACCAACTCAAATCTTCCTAGTGATGTCTCACAGTATAGTCTTCCAATGCAAGAGAATCAAGTCAAGTTTTCCCATGAGGGAGTGACATATGTGAACAAGTGTTGACTTGAAAGTAGAATATGATTTCTAACTCTGATAACCAGTTTTCTGTGACGAAACCGGTTCCAACATATTGACATAGTATGAAAGCCTTATTTAGAAATAATGAGGCACTCTAGAAGCACATAAATGTCCAGGATGCAGGATCCCCAACATTTTTATACATTTTTTTTTATCTGCATCTGGATCAATACCTAAACAAAAATAATAACTGAAAACAAAAATATGCAAAAAAAAAAATGTGTATCCAGGTCAGTGTTGGGACTAACGCATTACAAAGTAACGCGTTACTGAGACCATTATTTTTGGCAGTAACTAGTACTCTGACGCTTTATTTTTTAAATTCAGTAACTCAGTTACCGTTACTACATGGTGCGTTACTCTGTTATTTTTTTTATAGTCTCGGCTCCCAGACGTTGGTGAGCGGCGCCAACAGCGAGGCGAACAGAGATGAGAACTTTACTTAAGTACAGTACTTGAGTAAATGTACTTAGATACTTCCTGTGTCACATGCGGAGACGCGCTGTGGGCGTGTTTGTGTGTTTACTAACAAGACTATCATGGCGGCGGCGGAGCTCAAGTCGAGTTTCTCCGCCTGGAGATATTCTCACTATTTCACTTTTGTCGAGCACAAAGAAAAGAACGTTTTAGTTAAATGTAAGTTGTGTCTTGGCGGGTCAAAGATCCTATCTACTGCCCAAAACAACAATTCAAATCTGTTGAAACATCTGCAGAAACAACATGCTGGGACGAAGCTAGTAGCTAAGACCACAGACCCAGACTCATCCGACGCCACTCCACCTCCACCTAAGCAACAGCGGCTGGATTTTAACCGAGGGACTGCTAGCCAGGGAAAAGTTGATAAAGCCATTGTACGGTATGTTTTAGAACACATGCAGGCTATTTCTACTATTTCTATTTCTTGATCAACAGATTGTATTATTCTCCAATGCAATAACAGTACTGAAATGAAGGCTATAAGGGCATTAATGGGAGCCCTTTTTTTAAGTAACACGTTACTGTTCACAGTAACGCGTTACTTACTTGGTGTAAGTAATTAGTAAAGTAACTGAGTTACTTTTGAAATGAAGTAACTAGTAATGGTAACTAGTTACTGGTTTTCAGTAACTAGCACAACACTGATCCAGGTAAGCTTTGAATTTTAAATCTTCCCACTATGTTTTAAAGAATTTTGCAGACAATGTTTTGAGTTCTCCTGCTTTTCTATAGAAGAGGTAACAAGAACTGAACTTTCCTCTCAACTCTGCTTAGGGGTGTGAAGTACCAACCAACTCATGTTGTATGATTGGGTGTATGATAATGTATGAATAGGAGCTGCAACATTAACAAAAAGGAATAACGTCACATACTCAGGGGTGCTCCAAACAGCACGGTGTCCAAAGATTTGAGCTGCAACTTTTGCACGTGGCTGCGATCCAGGATCTTCAGAATAGCGAGCGTCAGGGAGGTGTTCTTAACAGCCAGCCTGAGAGAGAACAGACACAAAGTCATTAAGCAGGAACAAGGAAGGAAGAGCAAAGAGTGTAATCCATTCTGAGCCATGTGTAACGTGACCCCTTAACAAATCTTTATTATCTATCATTCAGATTCAAATCACAAACGGTCACTCGATACACTAGCTACGGAAAATCTAATTAATGTTCTAAAACTGACACTGACTGATCAGAATAGGGAACGTAATAACTTATAAAGAAAGTCATTTTAATGGGATTTAATAGCTGGCACTGAAGAAGATGCATCAAATCCATGTTATGTGTTGGGGTCATGTCCACACTGGCATCACTGTTGTACATTTGTGAGTTTAACAGTTTTAAATAAACCACAACTTACTTGTGGTACATTTCACTTTGGAGAAGTTAGAAAAGTCTTGACATATTTTACCTTGGCATGACGCTTCCATTAAAATTCATCTTGCGAAAGGCCTCGACATATTGTGGCAGTTCCACATAAGTGATGAGCCATTCCACCACCTCCTCCAATGTCCAATTATACACTGTGGGGAAAAAATAAAAAACACATTTAGTTATAGTGCCCACAGATACTTATTCATCCAATTCCTGCAGACGTCCAGTATTGATAAGGCTCTAAGGTGCAGGTACAGTTAGGAAGTACAACTAATATGATCTTTATTGTTGCTCTCTTTCAAATGAATAAAACATTGGCTATGTGATAAAAAGCTGACTTGTATCATATGATGTTTGAGGGTTTTCTTATTGAATGGACAATGTACTCATAGACTTTTTAGCACCTCATTTGAGAACAGTGACCCTACACAGCATCTTTAAAACTCATTCCAAATGATCGTGCGTTTTTGCTTATTTAAAAAACAGGCTTACGGTAAAGAGGCTACGAAAAAATGACCCAGCAATAAAGATGACTGCAGTACAGGCCCAGCAGTGCATCACATAGTAGATACCGACTGTAGCAAAGGTTGTGCTAACTTGTCCAATAATGGCTGTCCCTTAATGCCCCCTTTCTACCTACACTGCTGCTCTGAAATGAATATCAAGAGAGTCAGCACTGACCTGGTGGATATTGTTTGATTTTAAACCCAGTGAACAGAGCCAAAACAACCACCATATGCAACTTCCATAACACTATCAAACTGCACTGTAAATACAACTTGACACATGAGACATATCAAACAAACATGGACAGCTGTATCCGGAATGATCTATGATGTACCCTGTAGCGTAGCATACAGTGACCTGCCCATAGTGATAACCAGCAGAGACAACAGTGTGGGCTGTCTGTGTTAGTCTTATTTTCTTGGACAAAAACCCAGTTTCCTGGCTCCAAATCTCCAGAGCCTTGTCAAAAAACTGCATTGCAGGATAAGTCAGTGCTATGAGCAAAAAAGGGGGGAAAGGCAGCCACAGCAAAGGGTGTGAATAGACATAAGTGCCAGACACGGCACATGAAAAGTGCTCTCTATGACTACACGATAGCCCAGCCAAACAGATAGGCAGAAGGAGGTGATAGTGAACATGTGAATTTTTCGTGCTGACAAGAGTCAATAAGAGTGACACACTTGCTGGTGCTGATAACTAGACTGCACTTTGCTTGACATGACATCTGATTGACTGTTGGGCAAGTGAGTGTCAAGCAGGGGAATGTGAGACCCACCCTTTCAGTCAGAAGACAAAACTAACTCTAATTTACAAGCTACTAACAGACACTCAAAGTCACAAGGAGTGTTTCAATAAACAGTCAAATATCAAACAGTAAGTATTAGCAAGGCGTGTCAATGCGGTACACAGTTTGCAGAAACAAAGTTTACAGTCTTTAAACTCAAAAAAGCACAACACAAACTGAGAGATTGGCCTTTGTTTGCAGTCACTGCTGGTTTTAGTAGGAACATGTATCAAAGCAATACCTTCAGAGCCCTTCCAGGCCTTCCACAAGTCCTCCACACTGATGAACTGGTCGTCACCATGGAAGGTGTTGTGCTTGGCCTTGGGGTCATGGTAGTTAAGATCTTCTCTCAGGAACTGCAGAATGACAAGGATGTTTGTAATGGTTACAGAGAATACCGTGAAACTATAGTCTTTGAAGTTTGAGCAATTCTGCAATCATTATGGCTAAATGTATAATATTTTTTTTAAAGTACACAATTATTATGTATTGATCTTGAACCATTTAGAACTGGTGATAGTCTAAATGAAAATAATTGTAATCCCCTAAACCTTTACAACAGAGGTATCTCGATTTCTTTTTGTATCTCTGTTTTAAAATGGCATGTTGACACCATGGCACCAAAACCCACATTTAGGGCACGAGTGGTACTGGTCCACTACAAGATATGGAACCACACAGGTGGTTGCCCACTATATCGTAGGCTTACTCAGTCACACACATAACATCTTGCACTCCTACAAAAGCAACTCATGCAACATGGGTGGAAACCAATAAGTCATGATGCCTTTCTTTCTTGCTATATCCGTGTGGGAGGATTTCACTACAGTGCATAGAGATAGTCTGTACTGCAGGTGAAGTATCACGCTCCTCAAAGGATTGTCTTTAGAAAATGTGCATCATTGTGGCTAAGGCCTATAGCTTATTCTTTAAAGCCAGATGCAGACTTTGAACTGTGTCATGAAGAATTCAGCTATCCTCTATTTATTTACTGTACGATAACAGGAAGTCGGATTATTGTCTTTAAGTGCTCTTAATCGTTTTAAGCTTTCTATTTCCTGGCTCTGAGCCACTACAGATGTGCGTGCTCAGTGTACAGAGAGGGGTAGACATTAAGGGTAAAATTCCACTGGCCCAAGAGCATTCATCCAAAAAATAGACTAATAATGAAGAAAATTAACACATTTGTTGCAATAGTAATTTATGCACAAACTACATTACTACAACATTTGAATCATCAGTTCTTCCTCATTTTCCTCAATTGTTCATATTTGGTTTATTAAAATAATTATATAGTGGTCCTTGTTAAAAAAGGTCTGCTATTATCATTATTATTATTTGTATAATGCGCTTTCTGCCTTCCTGTCATTAGGAGTTAGACATGTAATGGCTATGTAATAGATTAGAGCCTTCATTATCCTAAACTGCTGGGACATTTCCCTATAGACAATACCTTTTTCTACTCTTCACTTACTTGTCAGCATAGGTCGGCATTGATGTACAGAGCCGACAAAAGACCTTGTTTATATTGGCATCATATTGAAGCCAACTCCATCCATCAAGCCAGTGTGATTGAAACTTTCTGTCCCTCTTCTTCTCATACTCCCTGTCACTCTCCTTTAACTCCTCCGCTGACATTCTTTTGTTTAAAGATAGTTTTTTTTGCCCAGCGCTTGGCCGGTTACAGCTGGTATTAACAAAAATGTTGGCGAATGGTTAGGTGGCTCTAAAGTCTGTAGGGATGGAGCGTGATCCCGCGCACGGGAGCCTGCTCGCGCTGCGCTCTACTCCGCAGCAAACAGCTGTCTGCTTTTCACCCAACAACGACAACCACCTCACGAAACGCTATGTTGTAGCGTTAATAAACGAAACAATTTAACAAAATTGCTTGTCAAAGTACCTATACCACAGGACAATTCCTTTTTTAAAGCAATATTTTCAGTGACCGAGCGGGCAAGTGGAAAGTACGTTATGCTGGCCCGGGGTGTCTAAATAGTGCTTCCGGGCCAGCGGGCCATTTATAATATTGAGTCCTGAGTAGTACTTGATTTCTTGCCTGTTTTTATGCTCAGTGCCTCTTCTTAAAAAGCAGAGAGGCCATTGGTGTGGCCTCTACAGCAACAGACTGAACTAAAATTAAAGGAGGCTCCAGAAGAGGTCTCCTGAAAATCACACGCAACATGTAGTTTAGACAAGAGCCCAGGATGTAAGCTTAATGGATGACAGGCAGTGTCTTTACGGCGCAGTGTTGCCTGATAAGCAACAGACTTGACTTCCGATGATCATTATCCAGCTGTGAGCGCCTGCTACTCTCTATACTGTGCTTTCATTATGCATCACTGTACTTAAGAGAAAAGTTGCCAACACTATTTGTCATGCATTTCTACCTACAAACTACACAGTCTGATGAAAGGTACACTAACCTTCTGTGTTACCATGTGTATGTACTAATGTGGCAGCATGTACGCCAGTGAATTAGGTTAATTATTGACAAACACTTCAGTAAAAAGGGCACTGGAGTGGAAACAGAACAAATCCTCTTGTTACTCAGTATAAGTTAAGAACATTACAGGGGTATGATTAACTGACCATGTTAGCAGCCAATCCGATGATCAGTTTACAGAGGATTACAGTAATGATACCTGTACGCCTCTTTAAACTGAAGGAAGACCACCTCTGTGACTTTACAAGCCAGAGTTCCCCTTTCAACAGAGCATCAGCTCCTGTTGAAGATGAATTCTGAGGTTGATACTTACGCCGTCTGTCTCGGACACGTCTACATTGCCGTTTGCGTCATCATCCATCTGCTTGTGAATACTACGGATCGCCTCGTAGCTGAGAAATTCATTCTCATCGTTGCAAAGCTTCTCATCGATGCGACACAAATCTATTGGAGAATCAAAGTGATATGAAGATAGTGTTAACTGGGTACTACCACAACAACAAAATGAAGATTAGAAAACATTAATCAAATGTCTTTATTGTCTGCTCAAGATAATTAAACATCTCTTTTTACAATAGGTATTAACAGATCATTTTGGTTTATTTGTGTTACCTTCATTCTTGAGAAACAGCAAATATTTGACATAATCCTAAATCTGTGAGATTTTTTGTAGGCAATTTCTCTGTTGTTCTTGTTCCATCATAAGGAGTCTCCAAAACAACCAATATAGTTACACACAGAACAGCCCCCAAAGTGTAAAATAATACTTTTCAAAGTAGGTAGGAATTCAATCCCAGACATTATCCTTCAAGCTGCACTGTGAGAAAACTGCTATATTAGCAATGTCAAGATTATACAATAACAAGTTTTTTAAATAATAAATAGAAACAACCAGGCAGATTAAGACAGACCAATACAAAAAGATACAATTTGAATAGTTAAATAATAATTTACTCAAGTACTGATTCAACATCATACCTACGATAGCTCTTTTGAATTCAAATAATCCTGTGATGGCAAAAAAAAGTTCATGACTTTGAACCTTTTGTGTTTTTCAGAAGACCTCACTCAACTTTAAAATTCCTTCAAGACAAAGACTTATTTATGTAAAGCCTAAACCTCAATGAGGGGATGCAAGCCCCTATATGTAAATATACTTTAATATTGTTTTAATGAAAATCACCACAAGTCTGGGCATGTTGAGAGCTGTACATACACACAAGGGGAGTTAGTCGGTTTCGTAAGAGCTAGCATGCGGGACCGGGATATGTAGCCTTTCTAGTTGCGTATTTTTCATATTCTTATATTTCAACAGTTTTAAGACAAACTGACTTTTTTGACATGGAAATTATTTTTTTAAGATTGACAAACATATGTGTAATTCATGGCACAATTCAAACGGGATCGAAAGATAAGTTTTCTCTCTCCATTGACTTCAATACATTATTTTTCCGAAATAAGGTCCCATGGATGGGGGTGACTTCGCCTCTCTATTGTGTTGCATTGTTGGAGAAGCCTGTGACCTAAGATTTTCAACGACATAATTGCTCTGTAGCTATGTTAGTTTGACAATAAAGAACCTTGAACCTTGAACTAACCAAGAAGCTAGACAGCATGACTGTCAGACCAATACTTGGCCTCGACCTAAGGCAAAGCAGCTTTTGATAATTGTGTGCTCTACATTTTTCACATTTTAGACTTTAAAGTTTGGTCAAAATTATGTTTTGGTTGTTAACATTTGTTTTCTTTCAATTGTCTTTTTGACGGTCAGGCCTCTGTAACTTGTTAGGTTTTCAGTGTGAAGGGCTCCACAATCATTTGAAAACAAAATTAGAAATGCATTTATCAATGGCTACATATCATGATATGTAGCCATCTGAAAAGTATCTAGTGAAGCTCATCAGCCCTCTGCTTCCTGAGGGATTAGAGATCCTCTGCACTAGATCAAAGATAACGCCACCGCTCCCTGAGAGGAAACCTTGTTTGGCCTGTTCTGCAGAGATTCAGGAGCTGTGTGAAAGTGCCTGTAGTATCAGTACATTTCATTTAAATGTAATCCATGGTTTAAGTGAATTCAGAAGAATCCTGCCCCTGAAACCTTCAGACATGTATATGTATGCAGGGATTTTCATTGGTACAAACTCTTATCAGACCGTAATTAATCGGATTGCACCAGATTACCATCAATAAGATATATACCGCTAAACTCGTCCCAGAAATCCAAACAAATGCTTAGTCTACCATTATTAGGTAAAAGTAAAGGTGTATGTAATGTTAGTTTTATAACAAAATCACGGTGGAATTTGAATTACTAAAGGGGAGATACGAACATTAACGTTGAATCAAAAGTTGTAGTTGTTTACGCTGAGCCATAAATCGCACATCTCATACATTACCGTCCTAAGGGAAATTGACACAAGCGACTGTGAACCTATTACATTTTAATACATTAGGAAAGGTGTCTAGGAGGTGTCACTTTGATGAGCGTAATGTAATATTTCGTACGAAAAAATAGTATGTATTAAATTATGTAAACCGGACGTTAAATTGTTGGAGGAGCACTTTTCTTTGTTTACGTAGGTACCAAGATTAGTGACGTTAGAGAACGGGAGTTTTGGTACTTTGTCACTAACGATTTAGTTAGCCAGTTGTCACTAAAGTAGACAGCTGCAGGTATAGAACTCAGGACTCAGACGATCTTATGTCATAACTCGGCCTATTTCTGTCGTGGTAGCTGGTCCGCAAAAACCTTCTACGACGATCACATGTAATGTGATATAACAGAATGAGGCTTGTTCCGTACTGTCACAAGTCGCTAGAGACAAAAAAAGGGTGAGTAAAATCCTCACCTCAGTGTATGGTGTGATCGGGGACAAGTTGCTATACAGATAATCATGCAATTTTTGTGTAAGTTTGTCAGTTGATAAGCTCTGTAGACAATTTCAATGAACAAGAATGAATACACAACAGTAGTACAGGGTACTCCCGGGGAGGAGCTGGCGTATTTGAGCATAATCAAGCTGACTAAAAGGTTCGTACTGCTCACAATGACTTACCCCGCATCTCGGATGAATGACAGCCATTGAAGACTTCAGTTCGTTTCAAGCCTGACACAATAGAGGCCGTACGTCTGTGTGTCTTACTCAACGCATTGAACTCACGAGGAATTTTTTCCGGCGAACCGACCAGTACATGTGATAGAATAGAGACGCAGAGGTCTCCAAACGTTCGGTTTACTCTTTCTTCCGGTGCAACCCACAGTGACTCTCAAGCAACGTCGACCATGCCTCAAAAGTGGATTCGATTGACGAGCGAGGAAACAAATTGTACCGACTCACCACTTACTCCCTCTTAGCGTCTTCTCATTTAACGGAAAAACCATACACCCGGAAACGTCCAAGAGAGTTTGACTTACCGAACTGATGAAACCGAGGTTTCTAATTGGAAACGATGCGACTCCACCGTCGATACAACGCTAACACGCAGTTCGGCAGGAACAATGTAGATCGCGGTATGTGATTTAGGATAAACGGTTAGTTTCTGGTCAATTCTATCTGCGAAAATTACCTGTCAGACATGGCCAACGTGCCTAACTTAGGAGACTGTTACAAATACGGTGAAAGACAAAACATAGATTGACGTCTCCGGGTCGGACAGTACTTGTCGTACAAGACCCTAGATTTTTTTGTGACCCACCGCCATACCGCATGCTATTCCCCTAAGAACCTTCCGCCCGTAATTGCGGGGCAGTTTACGGTCGGACTGACGGGGTGTGTGTGTGCGGGCGTACCTAGCATAACACAACGAGCTGTAATTCTTACTATGTTCGTCATAGTAACTATCATACGCCCTTGTGGAACTCGGCCGGTAGCATATGCGTTGTCGCCTCACTCAAACTAGATACGTTTACAATTGATAACAAACACTCTTACTGCTAAGATATGCTTAATGAAAATATCATAGAATAGTTTCACTACGGGATGGGACGTTTGGTCTTTGGTTCTCCATGTGTCGTTAGTTCCGTAAAATAAGTATCCTTTGACTTACTATAAGTAATCTTGTTTCAACTCAAAATTTACCAAATATCTCCATGTAAGCAAACCAACCATGTTTTGGTTCGGGTCCTTTTACGTTGCAGTAATAAAGTACAACCACGTGTGTCCCTGAAGGGAATTCGGAGTACCAAAGAAAAGACACGAACAGTTACGTTACTTTTGATTAGTTGTTGTCGAAGACCGTATACGAAAGAAATTCGATTAAATTGGTCCTTTCTCTGGAGAAGACTCGCAACCATAGTGTTAATGTACCTCACATCGTCCTATTCTATCGTCGTCTTCGTCGTGTATCTCCAATATGATCTCTGGCAGAGGTTCAAACGTTAAGGTATTATGATATGATAGTTATTATGCGTATATATATGATCATTATATGATATATATGATATGATCATCGATATATCGATGAGATATAT